CCGATCTGGCTAATCTACATGCCTCCGTCGAAGGAGGCATGTAGTCTAGACACACCCTAAGTGGTTGTTTTCAGAGAACTATCCACAATAACTCCAAGATCTCTCTCTTGACTAGTTGTCTCCAAATTAGTCCCCATCATATTGTGTATATAGTTTGGATTATGTTTTCCAATGTCCATTACTTTACATTTATCAACATTAAATTTCATTTGCCATTTTGTTGCCCGATCACTTAGTTTGGTGAGATCTTTTTGAAGCTCTTCACAGTCTGCTTTGGTCTTAACTATCTTGAGCAGTTTGGTATCATCTGCAAATTTTGCCATCTCACTGTTTACCCCTTTCTCTAGATCATATATAAATAAATTGAATAGGATGGGTCTCAGGACAGACCCTTAGGGGACCTTACTAGTTACCTCTCTCCACTCAGAAAACTTACCATTTATTCTTACCCTTTGTTTCCTGTCTTTTACTTAAGAGCCTTTGGTGAGGGACCTTATCAAAGGCTTTCTGGAAATCTAAGTATTCTACATCCACTGGATCCCGCTTGGCCACATATTTTTTGACCCCCTCAAAGAACTCTAGCAGATTAGTAAGGCATGATTTCCCTTTACAGAAACCATGTTGACTTCCCCCAACAAATTATATTCATCCATGTGTCTGACAATTTTATTCTTTACTATAGTTTCAACTAATTTGTCCGGTATTGACATTAGACTCACCAGTCTGTAATTGCCAGGATCACCTCTAGAGCCCTTTTTAAATATTGGTGTCATGTTAGCTATCTTCCCATCATTCGCTATAGAAGCTGATTTCTATAGGATAGGTTACAAACCACAGTTAATAGTTCTGCAATTTCCCATTTCAGTTTTCAGAACTCTTGGGTGAATGCCATCTGATCCCGGGGACTTGTTACTGTTAAGTTTATCAATTTGTTCCAAAACCTCTTATAATGACACCTCAGTCTGGGACAATTCCTCAGACTTGTCACCTAAAAAGAATGGCTAGCTGTTCTTCAAACTCCTTTTTTGGCTTTTCTATTATATTTTTACACTTAATTCGACCATGTCTGTGGTCCTTTCTATTTTCCTCACTAGGATTTGACTTCCACTTTTAAAAAGATATCTTTTTATCTAACACTGCTTTTTTTACCTGGTGGTTAACCCACGGTGGCACTTTTTTAGTTCTCTTATTGTGTTTTTTAATTTGGGGTATACATTTCAGTTGGGCCTCTATTATGGTGTCTTTGAAAAGTTTCTATATATCTTGAACTTTCCATGCATCTTGAACTTTCTTTAGATTCACTGTGCATCCTCCTAGAAGAGTTAGGTGGCTTACCAGTCAAATTTAGGGATGTCTGTTTCTCATCAATTGATCTTGCATGGATTCCTTAAGAACATTGTCTTTTTCAAGTTGATCCTGGTCTCATTCTCTTCTCGACTGACTGCTGTCAAGTTTCTGGAAATCATGGCATATACTATCTTGGGTTCTTTTGCTGAAAAGCTTAGTACCCCAAATAGATCTCCAAGAAGATAATTTGCACAGTTGATAATATGCTGCTCTTTTTCATCATATAATTGTTCAGACATAATATATTGGCCAATATAAAATATTACCTCCTTCATAGTAAAAGTGTCCTTATGGGCACCAGCAAATTTTAATAACTCCCATAATGGTGGCTTTTGTTTAACCAGGGCCTCTTCCTTGCCAGGGGGACTGGCAGGGTTGTCTGATCGAGCTGACATCTTGGTGTTGCACATTGGCCCAGCCCCGTTCACACCTCAGGACTGGGACTTCCCCAGTTTCTAAATGGCCCCTTGCCCTTGTAGGCTGCATGAAGCTATCCTTCACTGCTGTCTTTTCATGCATGCTCTCTACCAACTCAGGCAGACAGGCATTTATTACACTTGAGGTATGTCTACGCGTAAGCTACCGCAGCAGCACTGCTGTAGCACATAAGTGAACATGTTAGCTACCACTGGCATAGTTACTCCACCTTCCTGAGAGGCAGTAGCTGGATTGATGGGAGTACTGTCCTGTCAACTGAGCACTGTCAACAATGGGGAAAAGGTCAAATTATCTGCATCACTGGGGCATGGATTTTTCACACTCCTGAACAATATAGTTATATTGACCTAATTTCCTTGTGTAGACGAGGGCTTACTCCCATGTTTCTAAGGTTTTTGCCAGAGCCATAACACCTAGAGATTGATTTTATTTTAAAGAAATGAAAGCTGATGATCTGGAGAACAACTGAGTGATCTGACTACACCCCCACCATGACCCTTTCACTAGTCCTTCACATGCCATGTTTTGGGAAACATTACTCTGCCTCAAAGCGCAGGTTGGGCTGTCATACTGAGAGCAACCTGAGCTCCATTACAGGTTAGCATGTGCCCCGTTCTAATAAGGAGGACAAGCACTGGCTTTGACTTCTGTATAGTTGCCCACAAGGGTGGGGACCAATACAAGTTAGAGGGAATATTGCATAGCTGGTTTCAGTCAAAGTCTGTTGTCATTATCACTGTCATTCTGCCTCTACGCACTTCAAGGTCACAGATTATTTTTCCTCTGAAATAAAGGGGCAAGAGACAACCTTCTGATTTGGGAACCTTCTGGCTGCCTCCCACCTGGTACCCTGCATATGTACTTTTTACAGATGAAAGGTAATATTGTATATAAAAATATCAAATAAAGAATGTCTTTAAGTGAAAAGGGCATGTGCTGTGTTCTTATTCTCTGTCCATAGCAATAGGTCATGACACTGGGCTGTGGAGTGGGCTTCATTTTGTTGTCCTGCTGGTGTTGTAGCCAGCTTTGCCAGGCATTTCCTTTCCAGTGCTAAACATGCTTCAAGATCTGTTATTTCCAAACTTAAAGTTTGCCGTGAGCCTCATGGCTACCGTCAATGGATGAGTTCAAAGTTTGGAGTCTGTTCCGGATGCAATCAAGAATACAGCCAGCTGGGGTTGTCCTTTTACACAGGCATGTCTTAAATTTTAATACTTACGTCTGAAAAGAAAAAAATGTTTTGCATGTGGGGAACAGATACAGAGAAGCCTCCTAGTCTAATTTCCCCACACATCCTCTGCAGAAATACAGAACAACTTCATTGGAACCACAACCACAGTCTGAACTGTAGTGCATTGAACACATTTTGGATTCTACTTCATTCTACTTCACAATAAAAACAGGTAACATTTAGCACTTAATTTAATGCTTAAAATCACTATTTTATGTAACCTTGTAAACTCCCATACCTCACTATCCTGCACCTTAACCCCATGGCAGTCCCTCCCTACCATTGTGGGGATGTGTAGTGGGGTGGAGATGTCCCCCACTACCAGAAGGGAGAAAATACCCCTTTGAAAGCCATTTTGGGCACAGCCTAGCCCTGCCCCCTCACCTGACAGGAAGCCAAGGGGCGTGGCTAGGACTATAAGAACTCTGCCAGGGAGCTCAGTCAGGGCCCAGCCTCTGAGGGAGACAGAGGCCTGCCCAGAGCTCCTGGCTGATGAAGCCAAAACCTGGCCTGGGCCTCCCACAGCCACCTTCCATAGGGCTGGCGAAGACTGCCCTGCCTGAGCTGCCGAGGCCTGGCCAAGCCGGCCAGCAGAGCCACCCCGAGTCTAAGGACCTGCCTGAGCCAGAGATCCTGCTCGAGCCTCAAGGCCTGCGGACACCCAGGGACCCCAAGGACTTGTTGGAGCTGAGGGACCAGCTTGAACCCTGAAGCCTGCCCGAACCCTGGGGCCTTGCGAACCCGCTGGACGCTGCAGGGTTCCGACCCACCGACGCCTGGATTGGGCCGCCCGGACCCTGCTGGGACGACACCGCCCTTGACTCCCTGCCTGACCTGCGGGAGACATAGGTGCCTGCGAAGGGGGAGATGAGGACTGGCCCAGGGGGTAGCACAGGCCCACAGCAGCCCGAGGCCAGCACGTTGCAGGCTGGAGCCCCTGCTGAGCCAGTAGCAGCTGCACTGCTGCATCCAGGGCCCCTGGGCTGGGGCGCAGTAGAGTGAGTGGGCCTGCCCCCCCTGCCACCCACCTACGGGGTGGCAGTCTCCCCCTTGCCACCGCTGCAGGTGTGCTACCTGCCCAGCTCCTGAACCAGGAGCTTCCTCAAACCTGTGTGTGTGTGTTGCCCCGCCCTGCTCCAGGGCCTGGGCTTACACACTGTTTGTCGCCCTGCCTTGCTCAAGGGCCTGGGCTTACATACTGTGCTTTGGTACCCTGCCGGGATCCAGGCCGGACCTCTTAAAGGGGCAGGACTAGGACCGCTGTCCTGCCCGGAACTGAGCTGAGAGACTTGAGTATATGTTGAACTTCTTACCCCAAGGCCCAGACCTGAAGCAAGGCCGGGCACATGAACTATTACCTCTCACCCCGACCTGAAGCAAGGCCAGCTATAGACTCCCTGACTTGGACTATTTTAATTTAGGATAGTGTAGTGGGGCGGACTGGCCGCCCACTGCACCAGAGGCGGAGGAACCCCCTCCCAAAGGCGTACCGACCTATAACCAGCCCCCAGAAGGGGGGAAGCTTAGAGGCTGTTGTGGGCACTGCCAGAGGGCAGTGTCCCGAAAACGACCCCATGACCAGCCGTCCGAGCTAATTCCCAGGACCGACGGCTGGTGGCGCTGTGGTGGTGAGTGAACCCTGTTACAGGATGGAACCAGATAATTTCATCATGGATCATTTCTTCTATTTGCTCATGCTACAGCCTTGCAAAGGTCGCCACTCCCTCTTGTCTAACTGCAAAGTCCACGAGGACCCAAGCATCTTTTACAGCCTTTCTGGCACAAGTTCCAATCCAGGACATTTGCAGAGAGGCAATGTGGTCGTCAGCTCACACTATCACATCACCCAACAGGCTAGAGACAATGCTGAGTTTGACCAGGTGGCATTATGGTCAGCATACCTGTGCAGCTGCTTGGGAGTTACCTACATTGAAATGGATATGAGCAAGTTCTCTGTAATGGACAGGAGAAGTGCTGACCAGCACCTGGTGACTAAGGGGTTAACTCAGGTAACTAGCAAAGGTGTTGGTCAAGGAAACCAATCAAGATAGAGGGTTGAAATTTGCATTGGTTATAGATTCCTTAACTGCTTTGTGTGTGAGAGAGAAACCAGGAGTTGAGACACACAGAATGATTTAAACCCAGGAAGGATTGCCATGCCTCCACGGAATTCAGGGTAAGGGAGTGGACTGACAAGAGAAAATTAGAAGTAAAAGGGAAAAGTGACTCCAGTCGCATTCAGGAGAATTTTTCTTTATTTTGTGGTTTGGTTTGAACTGGTCAGTGTGAGTCTGTGTCTCCCCTCCCCATTTGCTATCTTGCATCGTGCCCAGAGACTTTTCTCTGTGTTTTTGTTTCCCGTAGTTGTGCTGTAACATCTAGCAACCAAGTATGCTTTTTCAAGTTTCTTTTGTTTAGTAATAAAAATAATTTTCTTAAGTTAATAATTTGATTCTTGTGTCCTGGAAGGTCTGTCTGTGTGTGTGTATCTGCATGCCTCCGACTGCAGGGTCAGCTACCAGAGACTGCAGCTTGTTTTTCTCGTTTTTTCAAGCTCTTTTGGTACCCCTTGGAGTGATTTCAAGTGTTCACCTCTGGTTTTTAGGGACAAAAAAAGCACTTGATGGTGGCAGCGATTCCCAAAATCTGTGGATTATGATTCTGGGGGGAAGTTTTTTGTAACCAGTGCCTGTAGAGGCATGGTTTTGAAGCTCTCTTGTGGGCCTTCACTTTCTGCACTTGGAGTGCCAGAGTGAGGAATAACCCTGACATTCTCAAAGAAGAAAAAATGGTTACTGACCATCCTTAATTATTGTTCTTCAAGAAGTGTCCATTCCATGACCCATCCTCCTAACCTCTGTCGGAGTAGGCTGATAAGGAACTGAGAGGTTGGCAGGCCTCTTTATACCAGCACTATGAGTGCATGAGTCCAAAGGATGCCAGAGCCAACCCAATGGATACCACTGAGGGAAAACTTTCCAGCAGCAGTACTTTAGGCAAACAAAATGCAGGACAATGTAGCACTTTAAAGACTAACAAGATGGTTTATTAGATGATGAGCTTTCGTGGGCCAGACCCACTTCCTCAGATCAAATAGTGGAAGAAAGTAGTCACAACCATATATACCAAAGGATACAATTAAAAAAATGAACAAATATGAAAAGGACAAATCACATAGTCTTTAAAGTGCTACATTGTCCTGCATTTTGCTTCAACTACCCCAGATTAACACGGCTACATTTCTATCACTATTCTACATTTAGGCAAACACACACCTACATTAGAATGAACATTGTCAACATGACTCGAAAAACAAGAGGCAAGGTTAATAACTGTTTTTTCTGCGTTGTCTTTTCATTAGGAGTTGTGTTGGACTGTATCCAGTAGTTGTCATTTGTGTTGATCAGTAGCTTAGAAAAGCAAGGACTGGATTTTCTGGCTGTAGGATTTCTGTCTGTCTCAATAGCTATATCAGTCTCTCGATTCACTTGTGGATAATGTAGGGTGCTAATGACATGATCAGAATTATATTCCCTGCAAGATGACTTAAATTCTGCTGCAGCTAATAGTGGTCCATTGTCCATCACTAGTTGGTTTGGAATACTAAAATGAGCAAAAGTGCACTTCATGAAACGTGCTGTCTTCCAGTCTGCTGCAGACTTTACTTTTATTTTTTGTTTCCTTCAATATAAAATAATTCCCCAACCCCGACTCCTGCATGTCCCACACCCCCCACAGCCACCTGCCCTGAGCCACCTGCATCCCCACCTCTTAGTGTCCCCTTCACACACCCAACCTCCTGCTCTGTACCTCTGGCAGCTCCGACCCCCTGCCCTGAACCTCTCCATACCCCCACACATTCCAATAGGAATAAAACTGCATTAATAGCTGAAAATAAGAGTATTGCTTTAATTATATATATTTTACATTCATAATATTTTACATTACAAATCCTCCAGGTTTCAGTTTTTACTTTTTGTCAGGTGGAATAGGTTTGCCTCCATAACCATATTGTCAGGGCCTCACCCAAGTAGACAGTAAAGGTGGATCCTCTTGCTGAAGTAAAGCGATTTTATATTCAGTATATGAACAGAGATTGGAATGATCTCTCTTATCCTTATTAGATTAGTCTGTTATGTCGGGTACACAATTTACAGTAGAAAGTAGTTTTAAAAACTACTTCCTAAGAATAAACACACGCACCCGTAGAGGGAGAGGGGGCAGGTTGCGATAGGATAGTACATGTAAGAAATTTATTTTCACACCTGCATAAGCACCTGCAAATGACCATACTGGGTCAGACTAATGGCCCATCTAGCCCTGTAGCTTGTTTTCCAACTGGCTTGTATCAGAGGGAACAAACAGAACAGGACAATTTACTGACTGATCCCTTCCCTACTGTCCAGATCCAGCTTCTGGTAGTAAGAGGTTTAGGGACACCCAGGGCATGGAGTTGGGTCTCTGACCTATCTTTGAGGAATTGATCTATTTCTTTTTTTTCAACCCATTTATGATTTTGGCCTTCACAACATCCCCTGACAATGAATTCTACTGGTTGACTGTGTGTGACGTGAAGTAGTTCCTTATCTTAGCTTTAAGCATGCTGCTTATTAATTTCATTGGATGATGCCTAATTGTGCGAAGAGGCAATAACACTTCCCTATTCACTTTCTCCATTAGCTTTGGTATTGCTGCTGCTGCAGGGAGAGTGCT